CCCACCCCCCCGCCCCGCGCCCATGGGGGGGGGGGGGGGGTTGGGGGGGGGGAAGAAAAATGGGGGGGGGGGGGGGGGGGGGGGGGGGGGGGGGGGGGAAACTGCTGAGGTCGGGGGGGGGGGGGGGAACAAAAAAAAACAACGGGGGGGGGGGGGGGGGGGGGGGGGGGGGGGGGGGGGGGGGGGGGGGGGGGGGGGGGGGGGGGGGGGGGGGGGGGTGGGGGGGGGGGGAAGGAGGGGGGGTGGGGGGGGGGGAAAACAGCCCCGCCCGCCCCCCGCCCGCCACACCAAAGGAGATCCCAGTCACTTTCCACTGACCCTAACCGGCTCTGAGCCTCTCACCATGTGTGGAGGCCAGGCCCCTTCAGAAGGAAATGTCCTAAAAGCGCCAAGCCTTTCCCAAGGTGGATGTGAGGAGCGGGTGGCATACCCCTTTTCCTCCTGCCATTCTTTCCCACGCACTGCCCTTCACAGGCCTGCCAGCTTTCCCAGCGCCTGCGAGCTCCCATGCTATCTGTCCAAGCTCCCATGACAGTCCCTGATCCCCAGTGGTCCCTAATGTGCCTTCCTTCCTCCTGGATCAATGAATGGATCCTTCCACCCTAGAGTGACAAAAGTGGTCCCAGGGCAGTCCATCCCCTGGTGCAGAGATCCAGTTGCCTGGCAGAGAAACAGAGGGCCGCCAGGTGCTGCTGACTGGCTGCAAGCTTGGTGGGAAGGACCTGGGTCCTCATGTGTCCCTCTGGCTGCAGGCTGGCTTGCGCACGCTGCATGACATTGGGCCTGAAATCCGAAGAGCAATCTCTGGAGATCTGACGGCTGAGGAGGAGCTGGACAAGGCAATGAAGGAGGCGGTGTCTGCTGCCTCTGAAGATGACATCTTCAGGGTAGGTGCCATGACTAGCACTCTTCTTCACCAAGTTCAACCATGGGGTAGGCTGGTGTTCTGCCAAGAAAGCCCAGGGGAGAGCCCTGACCTGTGGGATGGGTTCCAAGATCTTTCTGCTCAGCGCTCCTATCCCTCCACCCTTCCCAAGCCTAACTCCATGTCACATCTGTCCTCAGACATGGCAGCTCAGTGTCACTGGCTCTCAGAGCAGTGGGGAGGAGTCTGTTCCTAAGAGGGAAATTTCCTGAGAGACTTCTTCCTTCTTAGAGCTTGTAGGCTAGGGGGACATGGCTCAAGTGGTAGAGCACTTACCTACAAGCAAGACGCCCTGTGTTCAAACCCAAGTACTACCAAAAAAAAAGAAGAAGAAGTTGTAGGCTATGTCTAATCTGTAGGCCTATTTGGTTTGCCAATATTTGAACATCTGGTACAGCCAAATAAAAATCTTGACTACTGGCTTTTCTTGAAAAACCTCAGATGACTTGGCCATATTAGGTGTGAGCTCCCACATGGCAGTGCAGACTGGATAACTGGTGCTTACCCTGTTGAGATGGGGCATGTGACATCCAGGTCATAGTTTTCCCCTTCAGGCCCCCTTCTTTCCTGGAGACTGAGGTTAACCATCAGGAGCAATGGGAAAATTACACACCACTATGCCATAACACCAGCATACTTCCATGCACTGCCTTCACTTGCTGTGTTACCTACCTTGGTCCAAAGGTGTCTGGCTAAAATCCCTACCACAGCAAGGGAGAATCCACCAACCCTGCTGGCAGCCACCCTTAGCCCCCTGTTCAGCTCCCTGACTGTGGAACACTTTAGGAGCTAAGACCAGCCCATGTCATGATGCCCTTTCATCCTCATCCTCATCCCTGTCATGTGAGATCTCCATCACTGAATGCCCTCAGAGTCACAGTGCCATGGAAACACCAACCCACAAGACCCTGGAGACCAAGACTCACTCACCAAAACCCAGGGTCCTTCTGATGTCAAGATTAGACCAACCTTGCAGACCACTACTTGCCTACTTGCCTAGGACAAGAAGGTGGGGAGTGTCTGCTCATCAGCATCCTGTCACTTAAGGAAAACCATGGGACCTCAAGTCTCTGAGTCCTTCCCTCTGCCATGTGCCCAGTGTGGCTGTGCCTCTCTGGAGGGCAGACAAGCTTCCCATGGCCTGCACTCCTCCAACCCACCATCTGATGCTCCCCTCAAAGGACAGGCCACTGCAGGGTCTTCTCCTCCACCCACCCTCCCTTCTTGCCTACAGAGGGCTGGTGGCCTGTTCGGCAACCACGTGAGCTACTACCAAAGTGACAGCCGAAGCACCTTCCCCCAGACTTTCACCACCCAGCGCCCTCTGCACATCAACAAGACTGGTAACAACCAAGGCGACACTGAGTCTCCATCCCACGAGAAACTGGTGGACTCCACTTTCACCCCCAGCAGCTACTCATCCACTGGCTCCAATGCCAACATCAACAATGCCAACAACACTGCCCTGGGCCGCTTCCCCCGCCCCGCTGGCTACCCCACCACAGTCAGCACCGTGGAGGGCCATGGGCCTCCCTTGTCTCCTGCCATACGGGTACAGGAGGCCGCATGGAAGATCAACTCCAAGAGGTAAGCAGAAGGGTGAGCACAGGGGCCAGAACATGGGGCCTCACATGTCCCAGCCAGAGGACACTAGGGCAGGGAGACTTTGGCCCCCAGACCCACCCCTCCAAACAAGGCTGCTGCCAGACCTCACAAGAGAGGTTGGTGCCAGGTTGGTGCCCAAGTCCTGCCTGTGGTCAAAATTGGCAGGCACACTCAGGATAAGCCAGCATTGCCCATTGGCCAGCTTGCCTGTGACAGCACCCCCTTCTTTCTCATCCTTCCTGAGTAGACACACACTGGTCTGTGACCCTCTGAAAGTGTGTATGGGGCCACAACACAAAGACCATCCCTTTTCCCTTTCTCCTTCTCTACCCAATTGAGATGAAAAAGACATAACCACCCTTTGTAGTCCCTTTGCCACCTCCTGAGCAGGAGGCATGTTGACCGCAGGTGGCCCTTCTCTGTAGCACTGACCTATTCTCACCAGCCAGCATGGTTCCTGGGGTCTTGAGTGTGTCTCTACCTCCTGACTCACTCTTTCCTCCCCACCTGTCCCCATGTTATAGGATACACTGCTATGAAATGCTGGGATGCTCAGAGCTGTGTCTGTGCTCTGGACCCCAGGCAGTGCAGCCTGGGCCTGTACAGGTCTCCTCCCTGTCCACATCAGCAGCTACCGGGCTCCCCACATCCAGGGTAGACAGAACACTCTTCTGCATCTTGCCACATCCTTTTTGCTCTTCCAAAAAGGACCATGACTCCCCAGCAGGCTAACCAGATCCCCAGGGTGCCAGATTCCTGCCCTCCAGCTCAGAGTCCAATCAAGAAGCGAGGGCTTCTTCGTAAACCACTGGCAACTGTCCTAAAGCTGCTTCCATCCAGGAAGCCAGAAAATCTGCCCTCTGGTTTTCGTGGCCTGTCATGGCACCCAATTTCAGGTGGCCACATGCAAGCCCCCAAGGCCTGGGCCTTTAATAGTGTCTGATGGGACTGCCAATGGGACTCATCCCATTGTGTCAAAGAATGTTCTACATCCCCTCCACCTCCATCGGTAGCCTCCCTCGTCTCATCCTTCCCTCTGACTGGGGAGCCCTACCCCCACCCTGCCTGAACTACTCACAAAAGTTAAGTCCATCAACCCAGCACTCGGCTCCAAGAGGAGAAGCTGGGATCCTTTGGATGCCCACAGGGTCTGAAGATAGAGTGGGCCCCAGCATGCAGGACCTCTAGGAAGAGAGCTGGAGGACAGGAAAAGAAAAGGCACTTCACCTAGAGCTAGAAACATGGCCAAATGAGCAGGAGACCCTGTCCTGGAGGGGAAGGTGTTCTAGTCCAAGGCACATCCGGGCATAGGAGGGCCTGGAGCTCAGGAGGGGACCAGGCTTACTCCCTCTGTTCAGGAGAACAGACTCCTCTAAGTGAGGTTTCTTCTCTATGTCTTTACTCCAGCGAGTGAGTATTGAATCAAAGACATGTCAAAATACAATGAAAGGAACTTCTCAGCTGTCAAACAATACAGGCGCACCCTCCCCTGGATCCCATAGGCCAGGACCCCTCTTTCAAAGCCAGTCCTTCCCCGTTTAGAGCACCATCTCAGCTGTTCCCTTATTTGCTACTCACAACTTGCCTCTGAGTCAGGCAGGACATGTTATTCCAATACAACAGAAAGGGAAATTGAGGCATGGGTTGGGCTAAGCGTCCTGAGTCAGGACTCAGACCTGCTTGGGTCCTAACACAGAGATGCTTCTCTCATGTAGAGCCCTAATGCTATCATCTTAACGCACCTGTGGCTGTGTAGCAGGATGAGGCCCTGCGATTGTGTCTGTGTGCATGCATGTGTATGCCTGTTTGGCACCTTAGCTGCTGAGGAAGGACAGCAAAAGGGTTGCCAGTTCCTATACTGCTCTTTTCTTGAACGCTGCAGGTGCCACTCCCGGGACAGCCAGTTAGCCATGGTATGTCAGGAGGAGGCGTCTCAGGATGAGACCTATGACGTGAGGATGAATGAAGACACCGAGTATTGCAGTGAGCCCAGCCTGCTGTCCACAGACATGTGAGCTCATTTCACCTTCCCAGGCCACCTGGGTAGAGGGAAGGGTCTGGGGTGCTGCAATCCCTCCTCTGAGCAGGACATGGGAGCAGAGGAGATGGCATATCAGTCTCCGGCCATCCCATTACAGGGGTGGGAAGGCATCGCACACACAACCCCATTGTAGCTTGGTCTTTTCTCACTATGGAAGGCTTCCAGGAAAACCTCTAAGCCTCATTTCCTAAACTTTGGGTCTGAAACTACATTTCCTAGTGAGACTCAGCACACACTTACATATAAGGATGCCTAACAAATGTTTCCTGAGATGCCTTGGAATGATGCTGTCCAGAAGAGGGCACTGCTAGCAAACCTGGAGGTGACAGGTTTCCCCCCCTGGAATGTTTGGAGCAGAGTTTTTTTAAACTACAACTGTAGATCCTTAGAAATAAGGTTGTAACATCCAGCAATCGGTTATGATCAGCACTTTTAAAAGAGTAGGGTGAGGGCCGTGTGCCACCCAGCCACTTGGGAGGCAGAGATCAGGAAGATCACAGTTTGAGGCCACTGTAGGCAAAGAGTTAGTGAGACCCCATCTCAACCAATAAAGCTGAACAAGGTAGCTTCTGCCTGTTGTCCCAGCTACATGGGAAGAATAAATAGGAAGATCAAGGTCCAGGATAGCTAAGCAAAACTGTGAGACCCTATCTGAAAAATAACTAAAGCAAAAAGCACTGAGGGAGTGGCTCAAGTGGTAGAGCACCTGCCTAGCAAGCATAAGGCTCTGAATTCAAACCCCAGTGCCACTGGAGAAAAAAAAAAGTATAATAATTAAATGAATAACTAGAAGACAGGAGCTGGAAGGCTCCAAATACAGAGCAACAATATGGCGATGAAAGCAAAAATCACCCTGATTTGACCTGTACAGCGTATACATTGAATTATGACTAAATATATACATCAATTACATGTCAATCAAAAACTTTTAACTACTTGAGGAAGTAGATGTGAACCTCTCTAATTTTACCATTACCCTTGTGTGTGTGTATAAATCATCACACAGCACCCCACATTATTAAGCTAATAATAAACATAAATGCATAAAATAAAAGAACAGCACAGCACAGACAATAAAAAATACCAGCACATATCAAATGTCACAGGAGGTAAGTATTGTCTTATGAAATGTTTGCTTACCTACCTAGATACACTGGTTTCTCCCGAGGCTCCTTGTAAAATGTTTTTGGCTGTGGGTTGCATTCAAAACAGTTGCAGATACCCTATTTCAGAAGCTTTACTGACAGCTCTTAGTGGACGGGCCTCCTTGAAGGCTTTTGAAGAAAAGCAAGGTATGGCTGAAGGGGTGGGAGGCAGAGTGGGACCGCAGCCCCCCAGGGCCACTGCCAGTTCAGGGTGCAACTTCCAGGACTCCAGGGCTTCTGCCAGGGATCTGGGTTGAAGAGTCACAGGGGTGTCTCCTTTTCCCTGGTGCGAAAGTACTGAGCAAACATGGAAGTTGGGGTAAGACCGGTCACTTGACAATCAGCTAACCTCCCAAGCCTTCATATCCCCACAGCTGATGGGGCAGTAGGGAGTGACACGCCTTCTGCCCTTCTGACTCAGTGGCACAAAGTACAAAACCAAAAGGAGTTCTTGAAACTCCTTAAGTGATATTACCCTTGAAACTGACTTTTGGAGACTGCAGATTAACAGGCCACATATCCTAGAAATGAGGAAAAGCCATTGCTTTAATCTGCTTTCAACCCAAGGAGATTTTACCAACTACTTAGGAAAGTGAGACCCAGAAAGGGGACATAGCAGGGCGCTTTTCTAACTAACTGCCCACATTGGTACAAATGCGGAAGGGCACAGCACTCAGAGCAGGCCGAGGGGTAGGGTGGCCGTGCAAGAGTGGGGAGGCATGGATAAGAAGAAAACACCATGAGGAAGGCTGACCTGGTGAGAATGACAGCAAGGCTTGCAGGCGTAACCACGGAAAGTTTTCATCCCATAAAGTCCTTGCACATCTGCAAATCAGGATCGCTGGGTTGGGGGGGTGGGGAATGGGAGTGAAGGCCCTCAAGATGCAAGGGGGGCTGATGGTGGAGTGCTTGCCTGGCATGCTCGAAGGCCCTGGGTTCCATCCCCACTACTGCCAGAAAGCAATTAAGAAATAAAGCTTAAAGATGGGAGAGGTGGCATCAGGGACGATCTGTGGCCTTATCTGAAACACTGAGGCTGGAATGTAACATCGTGACATCACTTTAGCCAAAAATCTTTCATAAAATAGCACAGAGTAAAGTAGAATAGAAATAACCAGAGCAACGTATGCAATCAGGGCTGTGTAGTTCGTCGTGTCTCATTCTGCTAGGCATGCCTGCACACACTGGGAATATGTATAATGACTCGTACTGAGTTGGCATCAAAAGGCTTGGGAGCCATTGACAGTTGCCCTGTTATCTGCTGACTGGATGATTGTATTTGTAACAGACAATAGCTTAGGTGCTCCTGACAATGCAAGGGTGGCAGGGCAGGGAGGAATCGGGGAGTGAGATTAAGTTTGAGCTAATGATGAGAGTGGCCACAGTAAACAGCAGATGTAAGGGCAGGAGCCCCCACCAGTCCTGAAAGAACCTCATGGACCTAGAATTTTCCCAACTTTTTCTCTACCTTTGACCCAAGAGTGGCTCCACTCCCTCAAATCAGAAATGCAAGACTGGGGGCTGGGAGTGTGGCTCAGTGGTGGAGCACTTGCCTAGTATGTGGGAGGCTCTGGGTTTGATCCCCAGCACAGAAAAAAACAAACAAAAACTCTCAGACATAAGGCTCATAAATGGGCTGTGCAGGTAGTGCTGGAGCCCCCAAAAGCAGGCCTGGGAAACTCCTGTGAGGCCAGAGAGCAGGACAGAATTTCTTAGGGTGGTATATTCTGGCTGCCCCCTCCCCAGACCTGTAAGCACAGGGTGGTTCCCTTCACAGAGGGTAAGTACCAACCGGTTTCTTACCCATGGAGGGGCACTTCTTGGCCTTAGGAACAAGCCCCAAGTTCTCCGTTCTAGGCTGTCCTACCAAGATGATGAAAATCGACAACTCGCACTCCCGGAGGAGGACAAGAAGGACATCCGGCAATCTCCAAAGAGGGGCTTCCTTCGCTCCGCCTCCCTAGGTAAACACTACCCTGCTCTCCAGACCTCCAAGATGGCGCTTCTCAGGTATCCAGGGACAGTTGAGAAACTGTTGCAGCCTGGCTCAGACAACCTCCACACATGGCTGGGCAGAATTCCAAAGCAACAAAATAGAATTTCAGAGGCAGAGTTTGCTGGGAGGTGACATAGACATAGGCTACTCAAGATGGCTCAGAGACAAGATGTAGGATAAAGAAAGGATCTGTCCCCATGGCCACTGAAGCTATCCTTGCACCCCACGTGGGTATGAGCCTGTGTCAGTCAGCTTTCTGTCACTGTAACAAAATACCCAGATAAGCAACTTAAAAAGAGGAAAGGATTATTTTGGCTCACAGTTTTGGAGGTTCCTGCCTGTGGTCTATTTGCCCCATTACTTCTAGACCTGAGGTGAGGCAGCACATCATAGAGGGAGCATGTGCCCTTCATCTCCCAACCAGCAAGGCAAAAGAGAGAAAGAGCAGTATCCCACAATCTACTTCAAGGCCAGGCCTCAATGATCTAGAACTTGCACTAGGTTCCATCTCAAAGGTGCAACCATCTCCCAAAAGCACCAAGCTGGGAACTAAGCCTTTAATACATAGGCCTTTGGAGGACATTTAAGATCCAAACTGTACAGAGCTGTACAGACCAATGTCCTCACTTGCTGCACTGATCCTGGTTCCTGGCTGACTTTGCAGGTCGAAGGGCTTCCTTCCATCTGGAGTGTCTGAAGCGACAAAAGAATCAAGGAGGAGACATCTCCCAGAAGACAGTCCTGCCCTTGCATCTGGTCCATCACCAGGTACCCACCCCTCTGCACAGGCCACTGACTACCACTTTGTAGGCTAGCAGTCCCCAGGATGATAGACAAGTCTTCCTTGTCTCTGACTACTGTCATCCCACTCTGGCCCCAACAGCCCCTGGGTAGGGCCCCCCACCCCTCTGCAAGTGTGAGCAGACCTGTAATGCCACAGTGTGGAGAACTAGGAAATCCTGGTGAGCAGAAACTCCTCGAAAGACCCTGACCAGAAGCTGCAGGATTCTATCTGAGCTTTCTCCATACAGTGCCCAGATGTCTTCACCCCAGACACTGGCTTACGCTATGGGCAGTGAGGCATAAGCCACGCTACTGTTTGACATCACTTGAAAATTGAACTGCACAAAAACCTACCCACTGAAAAACAGAAGTGAACAAAGCACCTGCCAGTAACATGGACAATAGGAGGGAATGCGGGTGTGGTGGTACATGCCTGTAATCCCAGCCTCGGGAGGTCAAGGCAGGAGGATCACAAGTTCAAGGCCAGCCTGGGCTACGGAGCGAGGCCCTTCTCAAAAAAAAAAAAAGTTGCAGTGGGAGGAGGGGGGGTTACAAAATAGGGAATAGTGTCCAAGGAAAACAGGCCCAGGGAGATTCACTGTAGATAAAATGTCTCCTGACTTGGCTGGCTCCAGCTGAGACACTGAACTCCGGGACACCAGTATCAAGCATACTGTAGTATCTTAGAACAAATGGAAACTTCGGAGCTGTCTTAGGCTAGTGCATCACCTCCAGGCAGCTGGAGTTTCTCCAGCCTTTTCACCCTTCTAGACTCCCTTACCACAGGGCCTCTGCTTCCAGTAATTTCTTTGTACCCAATGACATTCAGTTGCCAATCTAAGCTCATAAATAGCATAAAATAGCCAGTGTGCCTTAGATGCGTGATGTCACCTGTGTCATTGCTTAACTAGGGATGACTGCCATGAGCTTTCCAGCAGCTTGAACATGGCCTTCCTCTTCCCTCAGACCTCCAGAGACCCAGGAAGCCCCAGGCTGAGGACCCTCAGGCGGGATGTGGGGACTCTGTGGTGCTATTTTAAGACTTCTAGAAGTTGGTTTCACCCATCTGTTCCCTGTCATGAAGTTTCAATTTTAGATTCCTCTTTGTGCCTTTCTGCCACCTCTGACCTATGCAGCAACATTCCTGTCTTCTCTGCCTGGCAGAGCTCAGCTTTCCTCCCACATAGTGTTACTCTCTCCCACAAACATGTCACATCCAAACAAGTGACACTGCTGAGTAAGTTGTGGTGGCCCTGCCCTCGGGATGCTTATGAACACTTGGGGGCAGAGGAGGCAAATGTGCAAATCGTTTCATTACAATGCAGTGTAAGATTAAACAATAGTCCAAAGTTACTAGCTTTGTCTCGCTCCTTTTGATGGCCACTGTACTTCCCAGGCCTTATCTCACTTGAATGGATAGTGAGGACTGGATGGTCTGCTTCGCAGATGATCAGCTCGATTAACTAATGACAAAACGAGACCAAGTAAAGTCAGCTAACAGGTGACAGAGCCAGTCTAAAAGGCATGGGTCATGATCCGTGAATTGCAGTTTTCTGAAACTAAAGGAAAAAGCTTTATGTTTCTAGAATATATCTTGAGATAGTTGAATTTTATGCCAGATCTCAGTGATACAGGATTCAGATGCATGTGAATTCCCAGCAGGTGGAAGTCACAGGAAAATGCTAGCTGCAAAGGTGCTCAGAAAGCAGCTGCCTCCTCAGGGCCTGACCTCCCAGTAACTCCTGTTCCTTGTGTCCACAGGCGTTGGCAGTGGCGGGCCTGAGCCCCCTCCTCCAGAGAAGCCATTCCCCCACCACGTTCCCCAGACCATGTGCCACGCCCCCCGCCACGCCAGGCAGCCGGGGCTGGCCCCCACAGCCCATCCCCACCCTTCGGCTGGAGGGGGCCGAATCCAGTGAGAAACTCAACAGCAGCTTCCCATCCATCCACTGCAGCTCCTGGTCTGAGGAGACCACCCCCTGTGGTGGGGGCAGCAGTGCTGTCAGGAGAGCCAGGCCTGTCTCCCTCACGGTGCCCAGCCAGGCGGGGGCCCCCGGGAGACAGTTCCACGGCAGTGCCAGCAGCCTAGTGGAAGCGGTACGTGAGTCCATGCTGCACAGCAGATGGGAGGGAGAGGCCCTGGGTAGCAAGTGGACTTGACGAATGGAGAGGGGAGTTCCTGGATGTTTCCCAAAGAGATTAGATGTCAAGTGTCTGAACCAGAAAGACCCCATATAAAAAGGACCTGGGTTTCAAAAACTTATGGCCACACAAGATGCTGGTGGCTGGGAGTGGCACTGTATCCCACCATTGGCCAGGGAGCCCCAAGTAAGGAAGCGGTGTGCTGGGACTACTTGCCGTGCCTGTGTGCACTTGAGCTGCATTTATACATTCACAGGGAAGGTCAAGGTTCACAGAACTCAGCCCTGACCGCTCAGGAGAATCACCAGGGAGCTTCCAGAGCCTGAAAAATTGAACTGCTATTTTTCAAAACTCTGCGATGGTTCTAATGCACAGCCAGGGTTGAGAGCCAGTGGTCTGCAACAAGAGAGCTCTCAACTCTTCTGTCCTCTGCCCCATCAGAGCAGCCAGTGCAGTCCTGGCACTGAGTTTGTCAGAGGGGTCCTTTGACAAAGTGAAACAAACCCAAAGGAGGATGGCAAGGTCCCCAGAAACCACTTCCTAGAACTGGTGTAGGTAATTAAAGAAGTAAACCCGGACAGGAGGTGACTTGGAGGTGTGACATTCACCTCAACCCTGAAACAGGCAGCTTGGGGACAGGTACCATCTTGAGCAGGAGGTCTAGAATGCAGGACTGGAACAATTTGCTCAGCCTGATGGGAACAGAGGACAACCTTTCCACACAGCTCCCCCAAAATGAAGGGACTGTCCTGTAAAGTATAGCTCCCCATTCCTGGAAGTATGTATGCAGAGGCAGCGTCTCTTCTGTCACTAGGCTGCCATGCAGGAGGTGGTAGCCAAATCAGATGACCTCTAAGGTCCCTCTGGCTCTTGAATGATGCTGATGCCCTACTTGAACTTCATTCATGTCACAAACCTATCTGGAGACCCACCCACGTGGGAGCACAGTGCAGGGGCGGGAGGTCACTGCAAAAAGGGTTTTGGCTTTGGTGCTCTCACGGTGTAGGGGAGGAAGGAGTGACAGACAAGAAACCTGCCTGTGTCCTGGCAGGAATATGTGGGAACTCTGAAGAAAAATTAGGGAGGAAAAGAGTAATATGGACAGGGGAGGAAGATGAACAGGCACCCAGAAGGAGAAAGCAGCACTCAGCCATCCCCTCCCACACCGTAGCTCAGAGGCTGATCTTCCCCTGCCCGCCTCTGAGGCAGCTGGGAGGCAGGTAGGGGCTCTGAGTTTTGTGTGCACCCCACTTGAGGATCCAAAGCCCTAGGAAGGCAGTCGCCGGCCAGGGGCAGGGGCTCAGGTTAACAGTATCCCCAAAGGAAAGTGGAAATTTCTTGCAAAAAGAAACATGAAAGGCATGGAGGCTGGGGGGGAGGCGATGCCCAGGGAAGAGAAAAGGGCAGGCTGGGATCTGCCTGTGAAATAGCAGAGCAGAGCCCCTGCGGCCTCTTCAGGAGCCTCAAGTCTGCATTTGAGACAGTTTTGAATATTTCAGTCAAAACTCTACTCCAGTCCACTCAGCACTAATTCCTCTGGCCAATACTCCATCTTTACTCCTTTCCTGTGAGCATCCCTTCCTACACACACACACACACATATATGTGCACATACACACACACAAATATATTCACACATACATGTGCACATACACATATGTGTATATGCATTCACATATATACACGTGCTTAGACGTGTGTGCATGTGCACGCATACATGTTAACATGTTCATATACATAAATAAATGCACACGCATACATGCATATACATATACACACTCCCATATACACACATGCATATACACGCACCTCCGTTCACAAACGTATACATGCCTGTGCGTGTATACACACAATGCACACGCATGTGCATATATACACATTCTCACATGTATGTATGCACATATACACGTGCATATACACATGCACACTGCATATATATAGCTGCCTCAGATTCACTTATATATATATATATACATGCGTGCGCACACACACACACACAAAGAAGTCACCAGCCTGCAGCTCCAGAGAGGAGCTGACCTCTTCCGTTTTCTCCTCCCGCCTCCCCTCAGGTCTTGATTTCCGAAGGACTGGGGCAGTTCGCTCAAGATCCCAAGTTCATCGAGGTCACCACCCAGGAGCTGGCGGACGCCTGCGACATGACCATCGAGGAGATGGAGAACGCGGCCGACAACATCCTCAGCGGGGGCGCGCAGCCGAGCCCCAACGGCACCCTCTTACCTTTCGTGACCTGCAGGGACCCGGGGCCGGCCCACGCGGGGGCCGAGGAGGACACGAGCTGCTCGCGCGCCGTGGGGCGGCGCCGGAGCGAGGAGGAGCTCCAGGACAGCAGGGTGTTCGTCAGCAGCCTGTAGTCGCGGGCTGGAGACGCGGGTTTTTTATGTCTCAATGTCCTAATGGGTTCGTTTCAGAAGTGCCTCACTGTTCTCGTGACCTGGAGTTAACCGGAACAGCGTCTTCATTCATTTCTGTTGGGACGAGACGCGGAGCGGGGTGGTGTGGGAGCCGTCGCCTCGTTCACCTTTGCTTGTAAAACAAGTCGTTTGCACATGTTCTGTACGAGCCTCGCTGTCCCCATAGGGCCCGGGCCTGTGCCGGCGGCGAGGGGCCATCGAGGTCCAGGACGAGGCGGAGGACCAGGCCGGTGGGGCAGCGCACAGGCCCGGCCACCCTCCCCGCAGCACGTCCCCGCAGAGCCGCGTCCAGAACTGCGACGGCCGCCCGCGTGCGGGGCCGGGTGGCGCCCAGCTCACGCCGCGCCCCGCGCTTTCGGGGTTTGACGTTTCTCTTGACAGCATGTTTGGGTTTTTATTTTATTTTTATTGTTTTGCCGGGGGAGGGGAGGAAGAAGAGCGTTTACAGATCGTGCGGCCTCCCACCTTCCCATTCCCACTTTTGCATCTGTAGATCAGGTTTGGTTCTCTTGTATTCTTTAACCTCTGTCCACGCCGAGGGTTCAGGAGAAGCTGCTGCTGGGGAGTTTCACCGGCCATGAGTCTGCCAGTCATTTCCTATCATTTCCTTAGGTAGTGACTTTTTTTTTTTTTTCTTTCTGGGGTAATTGGCAATGCATTTGATGGGTGTCGTGCACACGGGCGGTGAGTGGCGCTCCTCTTAAGCCAGGTGTGTTGGTGGGGTGCCGGAGAGGAAGAATGAGTCTGTGAGTGAGTGTCATGCATGTGTGTAGTGCGGGTCGCCTGTGCGCATGTCATCCGTGGGTGCACCCACGCAGTGTGCCATGCACACGAGTGAGTCCATGGTTCCCCATTCTGTTTTAACTGTGGGGAGATCTGAATCCGGGGCCATTTGAAAGCAAAAACAAACCACTGTCTGCTTCTGAAACGAGAATCAGTAACTTTGCATTTTCTGTCCCACAAGATATGCAAAAACAATGCAATAATACTCATTTTCAAAATACAAGTACGAGTTGTGTTGGCATTGAAACTGTATTTTAAAAGAAACACACAGAAATTTAAGGGAAAAAACTCAAGAAGGCATTTTGCTTCGATATAATCCGTGTAATGTTTTATTGCATTGATAATGTTTCTGTTGAAGAAACCGTTATACTTGAATTCAGGTCAGTTTCAGTATTTTTCAAATATTTTTTTAAGACTGAATTGCAATTGTGCCAAGCGAATATAATGAATTAAGTTTGTTTTTGAATTCACTTCTTGTATATTTTGCTGCATGTAAAGTAAATCATTTTGTATTTGGAGTGTGACAAGCTTTACCTATGAACTCTTACGTGCTTTTCTATCTGCGGTTGGGGGAACGGGAACAAATTTTCTTTTCATTTGTACAATGGGCAGAGGTATCACAGTGTAAGTCATTATTCTGCTATCCACAAACAGGCTTGGACATTACCGTTTTGCATATCTTGTGTTTGTTTCCATTTCCCTCAGTTTTTCCAAAATCCTGTGGTAGGTGTTTTTGTACCATGTGTTGCTTTGAGACACCAGGGCATACTTCATCCGGGTCTTCACTTGATCCATTTTGCAGCGTACCTACCCAAGAGCATTGTCCACTGTGAGGTGTAGTGAGGCATCAACATCCCTGAGGAGGAGGTGGCTGACTTCCCCAGTCACTCCCACAGCACCGGTTTGTTTCCTTAGTAAGCAGACACTGACTGAAAAAGCTGAAGAGAAGGTCAGGAGCAGAGTAGCCTCGCTTCTGACATCCGGTCTACCCAAATGCAGATAGCCAGAACTAGAGAAGAGCAACTGGTTGGAACCATGGTTCAGCCAGAAGTCACTCTGTCACTCACTTCATCCTTTCTTCCCAGGAGCAGGGTCACCTCCAGATCCACCCTAATGTGTGGCAGCAGAGGAAGAGACCTGGACAAGAGAGAGCATAGGAGCTCACAGGGATGGAGGAAACAGATCGCATAGTGAGCATCTCTGGTTTTCATGTGCACCTTCCTGGAGCAGCACCCTGCTGGTGCTGTGTTCTATTATATTTCAACAATAATAGTTGAAGAGGTTATGCTTTGGAGGAAATAGGACCCAACCATTCTCTCAGAATTTCCCTTCTGAATCTCTTCCAGTACCAAGGCTCCCTCCGTCCTTTTTTGCACTTTCATGAGCCTGTTAGAAATCCCAGTAAGGAAAGGTCCATGCTGCAATGAAGAAGAGTTCTACTCTCATGAGAGGATTCAGCAAAAGTGGAGAGATGTGTCCAGTGCTCCCAGGTTAACCAAAGCCTAGAAACAGCATCTCTTTGTGGTTTTCCACACCCCACCCAAACGTTCTTGGTTCCTTTTCAATGTCATCTTTTGTCCAGTTTCCCAATATTTCCGTCACTGTACTGCTGAGATTTTAGACAGGATGGAGAGGGGAGCCCCGTTCGAATCAAAGACTGCTTCTTGCTGTGTATTTGGTCCCTAGACAGAAATGTGGAGTTTTGATTGATGCTACGTGCAAGCATGCACACACTTAACCTCCTGCTGCCTTCTATTTTTCCTTTTGAACTTTTGATCTGCCTCACCAAGTCTTGCTGGCCAGTAGCATGCTGTAGTCTTGCTGTGGGACTCCTGCAAGCTATTTGCAGGGTCTTGTCCAGCGTGGTTCCCCTACCCTTTGCTGCTCACACCCTCAGGCCACCTTCTTTATAGCCAACACTGGCAAGATGACAAGAGAGTAACCTGCACCCTATGAAAATAGCATCTTCTGGGACGCAGGCCTCTTGCTGGAAAGGAAAGGCACTGCAGATAGGAGCTTGCTTCCAGGGCAGTGGTCTTTCTTAGCTTGACCTCATGTTCCCCTAGCATACAATTGATACGTGCTACCTGCCACTGAGTAGTGAAATTAGGAACCCACATCCACAGTGGACTGTGTCTACTCTTCACCTAACCTGGAATTTTCCTGTGCCTCCCATGGCCATTTCAGATGGCATTGGCAAATCTTCTGGAGCCCTTCTGAGAAAAGCAGCCCATGGCTCAGGACCAAAGGAACTTGAAGGAGCTGCAACTTGGAAAACATTTTCATTTGTCCTCTAACTAGCTCTGCCTCTTTTATTTCCACAACCTGGTCTTTTAATAACTTGTCATGTGCATGGCCACATCAGAAAGATCTCCAATTGTCTCCTTTCTGCCTGATTCTAGAAAGTTCTTGGATATTGACTTTTTCCTAGGCCTTAGTTTGATTAGTAAGCTTTTCTCTGCTTTGATTCAGAAGTTATGAGTTATAGCTCTTGTCCTTCTTACCCTGGTGTCTCTGACTGGGAACTCAAAGTCAGGATTAAGGTTATGGCTTTTACCCTCATCTGACTTGCTCGTTCCATATTCCAAGTGGTTATCTGGAGTGAAGTTTCCTTTCTCTTCTTCACAGCCCTTTTCCATCCAGAGCTCCTGAACACCCAGCTGAAGGTAGTGGTGTCCACAGGAGCACACCTTCCTATGCCAAAGTTGGTATCTTTCTGGAAGTCAGCCAAAGCATGGCTGTTTATAGGGGCCACTGACAAACTCTCACTCTCCTAAAGGCAAAGGAATAGAACGAAGATCCAAGTCAGGTGTGGAGTAGGACCCAGAGGTCAGGGTTTTTAGCCTCCTATAACCATATTGTAAGTGTGGCAGGACAATGGCACCTCCATCGCTCAGATTGGTAATAACTGAAATGTCTTTGTGTAGGAATTGGAAACCATTTAACCAAGAGGCTAGGAAAGGGCTGTCTGACTTTCAGAAGAACTGCTCAAAACCCAGAGGAGTCAAAACCTTGCTTTTAAGAGTCCAGACCAATTCTGTTTTTTAAAAAAGACCTGGCTCTGGGAGAAATGTCAGCACAGAGGAAACTAGAGGGGAAACTGAGGCAAGAAGAGGCCATGTTCTGGCGCCTCTATCTGCTCCCATTTTTTGGAAAGCAGCATTCTGCTCAACCGTCCATGATAGCTAGCACACTGGAAAGGCCAGTGCCTCCACAATCTACTTTGGAAGATGAGAACAGTAAAAATCCAACCCAGAGCTGTTTCCCCGCCAAATCAACCCACCTTTAGGACTTGAGAGCTTGGGCCTGCCCTCCTTCCATGAGGCCCTGCACCTAAACCTGGCCCCCGTGGGAAGGCAGATGAAGTCCATGTTCTCCAGCACCTGTGTCCTGGGGCCACCTAAGGGAAGTCTATGAGGGGAGAACATACCCTATGCTGGTCAAGAACGGGGCACCTTTGCCCCCCCCAAGCAGTTCTCTCTCTTCTGGGCCCCTCCATACCCTCAGCTGTGCCCCTCTCCCAGGTAAGTTGGGACAGAGAGTTGAAGGGGATCCCCAGAGCAGATTCTTACACTTCTCTGTAAAGCCACTTCCAGTTTTAACTTCATTATTTATTTATTTTTCAAAGCAATGAATCATTGCTTTGCGGTGCCACATAGCAACGTAACAGGTAAACAGATTGCTCCATATTGTTGGGGACACCCTACACACACACACACACACACACACACACACACACACACACACACACTAAGGCACAGGCGCTAGAGTTGAGATTTCCACAGCAATTTTCCATAGAAAGGGAGGACCACAGAGAGGGACATAGGCGGCTTCTTTGGGTGGAAACGGTGCCATCAGACCCTATTATTATCATGAGATCAGTATTATTTATCTACAGATTACCACTCCTATACTCAATACTTTCCCCCCATGATTTTAAGAGGTCTAATGATCATGAAGTGGTAAAGACCCTTGGTCTTCCTGGTATGTCAGAAAAGCCTTTCAGTCCACCTCTGAAGGGGAATTAGTCAGTGAAGCAGCATAGTGAGTCAGTTCAGCCCAAGAGTGGTCAGAGTTGGGATTTTTCTGTAAGTTGGGATTTCTCTTAAGTTTCTGCTACAATAAGGAAGACAAAACAAAGACTAGATAGACAAAAGTTTGAAAGTCACATCACCAGAGCCAAATCCTCCCCTTCAGATCAGACACTGGCTGTTTCACAGGTGTGCCCCTCGAAGGGCGTTCCATGCACCCCCAAGTTTCAGAATCTAA